AAAGATGGTCATTCACTCTCTCCACTCTTCTCTCAGGACCATGTGTCCTTTACTGAACCAGGAAGAAAGTCAGATGGCACGGACCTCTCTTCTCCCCATCCCATATCCACAGCCAACCGTGACCACAGACATCTTTCAGCCACATCCAGGCTCAGCCTCATAAGTCCCTACTGTTAGTTCAAGCACCACTACCACCGAGGGCCGAGCATGTGTTACCAATCGAGTGTGGTATCCTCATAGCCTCCGATGTCGTTTCCATGATCAATAGTACCGAACCTGAATATATAGCTCCCACATCCCTTATAATACTATAATACCAGCCTCCAGGTATGGACGATGTAGTGTATGCGGGCACTGTAGAAGCCCCTTCCAGGTACGGACCCATGCAGGCTTTACAACAGTTCTAGGAGGGAGTGCTATCATTACATTTAGAGGTGTGGAGAGGCTCGGCAACTTGCCGAGGTCACACAGAAGCAGGCTGCAAATCCAAGAAGCCGATTCCAGAGTACATGCTGTTGATGGCCTTGCTGCGGTCTACAGTAAGCACAACATGGCCTTGCTGCGGTCTACAGTAAGCACAACACTCCAGCTGTTTCCACGCATGTCAATCCCACACATCTCACCCGAACAACTTCATGTGGGGCATCTTCCCTTTGCCTGCTTCAGCACTGGCACCAGGATAAGGTGAGGAGGAGGAGCATGGCTCCCACCAGACACAGTCCTGGTTAAGGGCTGTGGTTAGAGTCTTCCTAACCCAACGATTCACAGGCCAGCTCGTGACCTTCTATGACCCAAAGTTGTAACTCAGCTACTTCAGCAGCTCATGAACATGCCCGAGCACCTCCAACTTCTTAGTCTTCATGTACTGCATTGGCCTGCCCTTGTTCCCACTGAATCCAACCATATCTCTCAATAATATCTACATGTCAATCTTATCTACACAACATGCTATGACCATCCTTCCAAATATGTGGCCATCTCCCTTAACGAGGACCAGCAGAGTCAACCTGTGTATATTCGGTGCCCACCTTGGACAAATTCTTTAACCTCCTCATGCCTTAGTTTCCCCACATACCAATGGAACCCCCTCAGAGCTGTTATGAGGAGAAATAAGTTAACACCTGTAAAGCACGTATTACGTGTAGAGTCAGAAGGAAGAGTTAGCAATATCTTTCTTTCCTGCCACTCTGGAATGAGCTGAGGGGTTGGGGTGTGGGCCACAGGATAAACATGTATTGAACACTTACCTCTCCCAAGAACTATGTCAGGTGTTCAGTTTGTGAATTCTGATTCATTCCTTTTTTTAAGATTTTATTTATTTATTTGATAGAGAGAGAGAGAGAGAGAGAGAGAGAGAACAAGCAGGGGGAAGGACAGAGGGAGAAGCAGGCTCCCCATCGAGCAGGGAGCCCAAATGTGGGGCTCGATCCCAGGACCCTGAGATCATGACCTGAGCCGAAGGCAGACACTTAACTGACTGAGCCACGCGGGCACCCCTGATTCATTCTTCATTCATTCTACCAACTCTTATTTACTGTGTTCCTACTTCGTGCCATGCCATGTGGGAAGCTGAAGACCCAGCAGGGAAGGCGGCCAGCAGGGTCCTGGCTGCATGGAGCTTTTAGGCTGGCAAGGACACAGAAACAGCCAATCACACCATTAGCTGGTCAAAACCATAATAAATGCTGCAAGGGGGAGTAGAGGGCCTTGAAGACATGACAGAGGGACCACATGTAGGCTGTGACCTTTCTTAAGAAGGGACACTCGCCTGAGCACTGACTTGTACATGAACACTAATCATGTGAAAAGTGGGGGTGGGCGCGCTAAGCAGCACAGGCATGTGAGAGGGAGACCGGGTGAGAAGTCATGCAAGGGGCTGGAGATGGGCAGAGAACTGGGCCATGATCTTGGAGGCACTGGGTGCCCAGGACGGGGACAAGATGGCTGGGATGGGGCCAGGAACCTGTATCCATCTGCTCTGGGCAGGGGTTCTCCAAATGTGGTGCCCAACCAGTAATGTCCGTATCACTGGGGAACTTGCTGGAAATGCAGACTCACCGGCCCCGGCCCCACCCTCACCCAGAACTGCTCAGAACTCTGGGGAAGGGCCCCCACTGTACTGTGTAGCACCTACTTTAAAAGACTAGGGAGACTCTTCGGAGAGTGAGGAACAAGCTTGCCTTACGCTGAAATACTTACTTCCATGCAAAAATCAACCCAAACCTTGCGCTAGACCTCCTTCACATTTCACGCTCCCTCTACTTCCGCCTCTGAACTCACGGTGACTTTCCCCAGCTTCCTTCCTCCCTCTGAAGAGGCTTCCCAGTCTCCCCACTTCAGCTGCAGAGCCCCCCCGAGCCCCCACCTCCCACCCAGGCCAAATGTCTTGGTTTCCCTTCCTTTTGTTCCTGCTAATCATTTCATCGGGCTCAATGCTTGGGACACAAATTGGAGGAAGGCTATTCAGGCAAGCCTTTAAGAGAAAGTCTGAAAGTACTGAGAAACTATGGAAATGAGAGATAACCATGAAAAATAAGACATCTGGGCAAAGTTTAAAAGAGCCAGGCATGCTCAGCCTTGAGCAAATGTCACCATGGGGAGCCGCGGTGACAGTTTTCTAATACCTAAGGAATGCACGTAGGAGAAAAGGATCCATTTTTCCACCCATCAGCGGGAACAGAACAAGCAGGCCTGTCTTAGGTTTCAGCCGAGAAAACATCTGTCATGTGTTTGAGCCATAGGAGAGGAGGAAATGCCAAGAGGGCTGGTGAGATCATCCCCGCCCGAGACACTCGCAATGAGATCACAATGGCCAGGGTCGCTGACCATCAGGGCTGACCACATCAGTGGTGCCTGCACCACGCAGCGCCCGGGGCTCGCAGGCTCCACGAGGGGATCTCCCTGTCACTGGGCAAATCTGCCTCCTGGGCAGGGCAGGTGCTGACTCACAGCCTCTCTGTTTTGCTTCAGAGGCACGGGAATCCAAAGGAAACTGCGCGCTTCTGCAAAACCTTCCGGACTGCCTCGTTACCTGGAGGCCAGCGTGGCATGTGTTTCAACAAAAGCCCACTTATTCCTGTCTTACAGCTAACCCAGTAACAGCAGCAGTGACCCAGGCATCACATCAGTAACAGCTCTGAGCTACCGAACATTCGCTCTGGGCCGGCGCCGCACACACCTCTACTCACTCCTGCCTCACCATTATCGCAGGTCCATTGTACAGATGAAGAAGCTGAGGCTTAACGAGGCCTCCTGATTCACCCACGACCCCACTGCTGGTCAAGTCCTGGCTGAGATTTGAGCCCTCTGTTCTCTGTTCTATGATCAAGATAAGGCCTCTACGTTGCCAATGTTTGGTAGAATGGAGAACGAGGACCTTTTAAAAATCAGCCACGGTCTCCTCTCCCCCACCCTCCCGGCTCCAGCTTTGGTGATGCTGAGAAACAAAGTCTCTTCCAGAAGGCCCTGCTGCTTCCCTGTCTCTGCTACCCTGTGCCTGCCCCTCAGGACTCCACCAGGAGCCTGGAAGAGCTGATGGGCCTCCTGACAGCGTGGGCGTCCTCCACACACCACCGCCCCCTCGGAGACATCAGGCACAGGCTTTCTGCACTGCCTGCCTAGGCCACAGCAGCCAGCAGGGGCTTTCATGTTCACCGAGCTCCCCAAGGCCACTGCCAGCAGAGGGGCTATTGTGCAGACTGCCATCAAGGTACCAGATAATCCTGGATCTGATTTTTGTCCCGGCTTCTCTACAGTGTAATTCTCAGCTCACTGACTTCTCTCCTTTTGCCTCTTTCTGGAGTCCCCAAATGGCTGAAATGGTTTCTATTACAGACTTGAAGAAGAAGTCTTCCTTAGCACTCTGATCCTGTGCATAGTCTTGGCCCCACCTCTGTGCCTTCATCATAAGGCTTCCCTGGGGCCTCATTCATTTGTCAGGCAATTCAGCCAAGAGGACCAACCGACTGAGCCGTTCCTGATGCGGGACTTCAGAACTCAACACCCTTTAAGAACCACAGGAACACAAGTGCAGGAAGCAGTGCCCATGGGCATGAGGTCACTGGCTTAGTAATGAGCGTCGGTCTTTACAGCATCACAGTTGTACCAACTGGCAGGAAACACAAAACACAGGGCAGCTCCTGTCAGGCAGGCTTCCTGGGAAGCAGGGCCAACCTGGTGGAAAAGAGTAAAGAAGAATTTTCCTGCTCATCAGACAACTGTGTGCTGACGTGAGGCCTGGAGTCAGGTGAATGAAATTTATTCCTTCTTGATGGAAAAGTTGGATTCGAGCCACAGTATATATTCATGGGTTTCTTAATTTTTCTTCCAGCTTCACCAAGCTCAGTGGAGCTTAAAGCAGGTTTTTCCCTCATGCAAAGAGATGGAAAGGGCCCAGCGAACAGACAATGCTGAGCCTTGAGGAGGAAGGCGAGGAGGAACAGGAGGAAGAGGAGGAAGAGAAGGCCCTTCCAGAACTTTCCTCTCCTGGCCGCTCTTTCCAAATCAGTATTTGGGAAGGTGTGAGAGGAGGGGAGGTAGAGATGCCTTCTAGGGATCTGGCTTCACGGACTCCAACTTGTGATGCTGAATGCCATACTCCAAACAGCCATGTGACCATCAAAGCTCCCCAATGAACTCAGCTGAGACACGCTGGCCTTCCCTCACGTGCCAGCTCTTAGCTGCTTTTCTAGCAGAGGCATTTGATCTGAATGACCCAGTCCCCCCAAGTTCATCCTTTCTGGCTCTTTCACCACAATGCCTATGTTCCACCCACCGTAATCAGCAGCACATCTGAGATGTAGATGGATAGGATCCCATGATAAGAAGGGTGCAGAAATGTTCTCTGTGTGTGGCCAACTGGCACTTATTAGTATCTAACCATTAACCCTAGCCACATTATACCAACTGTGGCTCAGGAAGCTCAGCTCCTGAAATTGTTACCCACCCCTGGAACATGCAGAGAATAAACCGTGATGTAAATTAAAATCAGAGTCAACTACCTTCATGGCACCCATAGCTTGGAAAGTCACAGCTAATCTCGAAGGGGTCAGCGCTGCCAGCATCACATTGAATCTTGCACTCTTGTTCTTAATAGGGGAATGGTACTGCCCATCTGGAGCCACAGAACCAAACCTATGGTAGGGAAGAGGCAGGTGGAAAAGAGGAGTAGGGTTAACAAAAAAGAAGAACATGGCACCACTAGAAATGATGCTATATGCACACACAGGGTTTCCAGATCCAGGAACTACCCTTATGAGACATCAGAGTCGGGGATGGGGGAAAAGTCTCCCCAGAAGATCCTGACCAAAGCTTGACTCACGGACAGCAAAAGCAGGTTTTGTGCCACCACCAACCTGTGACTCAGCAGGGGCCCCTGGCAAAAAGAAGCATGGGGACCACCATCATTAAACCAACACGGGAGCCTGAATGTGAAGACCACACATCAATCCACTCTTGTTGTTGATATATAATTCACATGCCATAAAATCCCCCCTCTTAAAATGTGCAATTCAGTGGTTTTTAGGACATTCACAAACTTGTACAACCATTACCACTGTCCAATTCCAAAACATTTTATCACCCCCAAAAGAAACCGCCTACTATTAGCAGTCACTCCCCATACTCATCACACTCCAGGCCCTGGCACCCATTAATCTACTTTCTATCTCTATGGATTTGTCTATTCTGGATGTTTCCCATCAGTGGAATCGTACAATATGTGGCTTTTGTGTGTGCCTTCTTTTACTCAGCTCACTGTTCTCAAGGTTCATGCATGTTGTGGTATGTCCATACTTCATTCCTGTTTATGGCCCAGTGATAAGTCATTGTACTGATACACATATCTTGTTTATCCATTCATCAGTTGATAGATATTTGGGTTGTTTCCCCTTTTATGGCTATTATGAATAATTATGCTATGAACAACTGTGTACACATTTTAGTGCAGACATGTTTTCAATTATCTTGTGAACAATGTTTTCACACATACCTAGGAGCAGAATTGGCTCATATGAAAAATTTAAACTTTTGAAGAAGTGCCAAACTCTTTTCCAAATCAGCAACACTATTTTCATCCCCACCAACAATGTATGAGGGTTTAAATTTCTCCACATCCTCGCCAACCATTATTATGGTCTGTCTCTTTTATTACAGCCATCTGAGCAGGTGCAAAGTGATATCTCATTGTGGTTTTGGCTGGCACTTCCCTAATGACAAGGATGTTGAGCATCTTTTCATGTGCCCACTAGCCATTTGCATATCTTCTTCAAAGAAATGTCTATTCAGATTTTTGCCCATTTTTCAACTGGGTCATTTGTCTTTTAATTGTTCCTTTTGTATTCTGGATGCCATATATATATATATATATGATATATATATACACATATGATTTGCAAATGATATAGATGATATATATGTATCATATATATTACAATATATGTGATTTCCAAATATTTTCTTCCTTTCTGTGCATTGTCTTCTCACTTTCTTCATAGTGTCCTTTGAGGTGCAAAAGTTTTTTAATTTTGATGAAGTCCAATTTATCTCTTTTTTTCTTTGGTTGCTTATGCTTTTGGTGCTTAATCAAGGCCACAAAGATTCACACCTATGCTTTCTTCTAAGAGCTTTACAGTTTTGGCCCTTACGTTTATATCTGTGATCCATTTTGAGTTCATTTTTGTATACGGGACGAGATAAGAGTCCAATTTTATGCTTTTGCATGTGGATGTCCAGTTGTCCCAGTACCATTTGTTAAAAAGACTACTCTTTCCCCCATTAAATAGTCTTATTATCCTTGTTGAATATTAATTTACCACAAATGTAAGAATTTATTCCTAGACTCTCCATTCCATTTCATTGCCTACCTATTTATCCTTATGCCAATACCACAGTGGGTTTTTTCTTTTTTTTTTTCTTTTTTACTTCCCACCTGCTTTCAGGGGGATCCACTATACTGCCACACCACCTCAATTACTGTAAATTTGTAGTAAATTTTCAGATCAGAAGTGTAAGTCTCCTACTTTGTTCTTCTTTAGCAAGATTGTTTTGGCTATTCTGACTCTCTTGCGTTGCCATATAAATTTTAAGATCAGTTTCTCAATTTCTGCAAAAAAAGCGGGGGCAACTGGGATTTTGACAAGGATTGCAATGAATCTGAACATCTATTTACTGATCCACTTTTTATCAACACCCCCAAAATGGGGCTCCTCCCTCAAAATGCCTGTGTTTCCACTGCTGTTCTCTGGCATATTGGGGGCAGTTTAAGTGCCAATAGAATGGCTTAAAATAAAACCCTGCTCATCAAAAAAATCCATATATTCTCCTATCTTCTACAGATCATGTAGCTCACTATCACTTTTTTTTTTTCCGGCTGGATCTAACTTTCTAATCTCTAATGCATTGGATGAAGGATGAGCCAATGGATCCAGCTTCTGGCAGACTGGCCAGGCCACTGAGATCTCATGAAGGTGGGACACATGGGGAGCTCTACATCTATAGCTTTCCTTCCCTCTTCCCCATCTCCCAGAGTATAGTGCTGCAGCTAAGTGACTGGAAAATGTGCAGGCACCTCTGGGGAAGGCTGACGGTGTTCAGACCTGCTGTCATGGACACTGGTGGCTCCTGAGGGGACCTAAAGGCTTCCCCACACACCAGGATAACTGCAAAGATGCTTTCATCATTTCCATTTTATTTCCTACCCATTCCCCGGGGAGCAGGGGGGTGGTTAACAGAATTTGTTTCCCACATATTTTTCTTAAACTTTTGGCATCTATGACATTTATCTGCTGGCAAGAGTGTGCAGGCAAAGAAAACGAATGAAGTGTTAAGGGAAAATCTATAGTAAACCTGATTATGCAGAGCTTGATTGCTAGCTCTTTCACAGATTTCAATATGTATATAGGTCAGGAATTTTATTGGATACATGAAATGCTGTTGAGAAAAGTCACAGTAATTGGTGTTTCTTGGCCTCTGCAAAGTGTAATGTGAACCCCTAGAGCTCCACCCCTAAAATGCCCCTGAAGAAGCAGCCTTCTCCTCATCATTTAACCCACCCTGACGTCAGTGGGATGCTGGGAAATGACACTGAGCACCTCTGACATTATCCATCCATCCAAGCAGCACTGGTTACAAGAGCCTCCTAAGCTGAAAGGTGGTACCTTACCTCCTGCCACCCGCAAAGGAGGCAAGAACACTGCCTGGTGTGTAATAGCAACAACAACCAAAAAATTTAAGGAAACAATCTAAATTGCCCAACAATCAGGATAGATTACATAAATTATAGATCATTTATTTGTCTATTATGGCCATATTGAAAGTGAAAATGTATATATGTATTTCCTGTTGCATAAAAACATCTGACATAATGTTAAATAGAAATTGCGAGTTGTAAAAAATAGAATTTATAAGTGGATCTCATTCAGTAAAAATCAAACACACCTCTCTCTGTTGATATACCAGCATGGAAAAAAAGTCTAGAGAGTTATACATTCAAGTGTGCATAACAATCATTATATCTGGGTAATAGCGTTTTGGATAATTTTAATTTTTTTCTGTTTTCTTATCTACATTTTCCAATGGATGGTCAATAAACTTGTAGGAGGGGCTGGCAGACAGCCTGGACGTGCAGCCCACGAGACCCAGGCACCAGGCCTAGCTTGGGAGAGCAATGAGATCATACGCACAGCCAATCTGAGTTAAAGTGAAAAGTACTCACTTATCCAGCAGGTTCTCCCTTGGTATCCGAACCTTGTGAAATATTAAGATCCCATTATCCACACCGTGCAGACCTAGAGAGAGCAGAAAACAGCTGCAGGGGACAAATCTGTGCTAGCATCAGTTTCCTGCTACTTCTCCACTAAAATCCCAAACCCTTCCCTTTACTCCCAGGATGGCTGATGCTTCTCTAGATGGGGTGGGGGCGGGGACGCTCTCTGTTGGTCTTCTCGAAGAGCTGAGCTTTCTGTGCTCTTGGGCTCAGGTGGAGGATCTGGGTGCTGCGACTTGGAAAGGAGGAGCTCTAGGCATCAGAAGGAATGCCAGGGCAAACGCAGAGAAGGCAAGAAAGCCACCTACTCCCCCAATAATACAGAAGTCAAGTTTCTCCTCCCTCCCAGGGCTTCCTTCCAAGAACAAGGGGTAGTGAAGTCAAATGCCTAAAAAGACAAGGACAGCTGTGACTGACTGGGGTCAGTGACCTGACTCCCCAGAAGGTTCCTGAAAACTGCCGGACCTGTTTCCTAATGATGCCTGTCAGAGTCTGGGGTCTACTTTTTGTTTATCTCACACTTGGGAAGATTTGAGCTGAGGGGAAAAAAAAAAATCTTTAGTAAACGTCTTTATTTGGAACATCACACCTTCACAAGGATACAGTTGCATTTAGGAGCTTCCAAGGAAACCAAAGCAGACTTTCTGAAGTTGCCAGTGTTTTAAATGTCTGGCACCCCTTCACAAGAGCTGGGCCCTCTGCTCTCCTCAACACTTGACTCGATGGGTGCCTTCAAGGGACAAGGGCAGCGAGGGCCTCAGTCACCCCTGAGAGATACAGTTAGAGCACTCACAATCCCACTTGCAGCCCATTCCCGCAGCTGTGGCAGTGGTCGGTGAACAGCGAGGGCCGAGGTGAGACTATCCCCTCCACCAAAGAATCATCTCCTTTCCCCTTTTCCCTTTTGGTTTCTTTTTCCTTCTTCCCCCACCTGTTTCTTTGGCTTGGTTTGGCCTTGGCTGGGGACAACCAGCGGGGCCCACAGGTATGGCCTGCTCTCACCAATTGTCGTAGGTCGCATTGCAGCCCTCTCCCACCCCTCAAAAATTCACACGTTTGAGTTCTAAACCCAAGTACTTATGGATGTGACCTTATCTGTAGATAGGGTCTTTACAGAGATAATCAAATTAAAAGAGGTCAGTCCTAATCCAAAGGACTGGTGTTCTTACAAAAGGGGAAATTTAGAAACAGACATGCACACAAGGAGGAAGAACACCACGCAAGCATGAAGACACCATCTACAAGCTAAGGAGAGAGGCTTGGAACAGACTCTCCCTCACAACCCTCAGAAGGAACCAACCCTGGCATCACCTTGATCTTGGGCTTATAGCCTCCAGAACTATGAGCCAATACATTCTGCCATTTAAGCCGCTCAGCCTGGGTTACAACAGCAAACTCGTCCCCCGAGTCAGTCCTCGGGATTCATCAAGGGCCTCCTAGGCACCAACACCAGGCTGTGGCTCAGGGGCAGGAAAAAGAGAGCCTCAACCTGCTGTCTGAGAGCCCACAAGTCCAAGAAGAAGAGAGGAGGCGAAATTACTGAAGGCAAAAGCTGCCTCACAACTGGAAAATATGAGAGGCTGGGAGAAAATAAGACCAATGCATATTCATAAATGGCAATCTTCAATATTCCCCAACAGTTGTGACATAAAAGACTTCCATCAGGCTTCAAAATCAAAGAATCTCTGCCTTCACTGTGTTGGTGAGTCAGGTTAGACCCTTCTTGGATGGGGCAGGGAGCAGGCAGGAAGTGCAAATGAGGGTAGAAATGGTGTCACCTGAGGACTCACCTTCCTTGTACATCATATCAATAGCTGTCACTCCCGGGTACAAGCTTCCGTTTTCATCGCGGACAGGAACAATGAAACAGTGGGGCCCTGAGGAAGGCAGAGGGACAGTTGCTAAACTCTCTTTTTTAAAGCTACAGTTAAAGCTTTATTCATTTCCTGGAATGGTCTACAAATTGTGTTGATCCTGAAATCCAGTCAGTTCTAGGACTGTGCACTGCATATAATAGTGTATACCGTAGTCCTCCCGTGTCCACAGGGGATACATTCCAAGACCGGGGTGAATGCCTGAAACCATAGAAAGTACTGAACCCTATATATGCCATGTGTTTTCCTTCCTACGTAATGAGACGAGGAGCAGGAATGATGTAGGTGCTGCGACAGAGCGTGCCACTCGTACCAACCCTCTGACCATCATCTGCTTCCAGACTGTAGTGGACAGCAGGTAACTGACACCGTGGAAAGCAAAACTGCACGTAAGGGGGGGAGGGGACGACTGTAATGCCAAAATGTCGTATTATTCAGTCACTGTGTATACTGAAGAAATAAAGTTGGCACTGAGTTTATACAAGACAAAACCAGTGCTGTGAAGTGCACTTTTCAAGGTAAAGTGCTTGCTGGAACGTAGTAAGAGTAAAGAGAATTATTCTAGCTCTCTGCACCAGCACAAACCTTGCGATCTTCCGTCTATGATGAGCTGAGCGAAGACGGCGGCATAATTCCCATACATCGCATTTCCAATGTACATCTTCTCAGCATTTTTACATGGTGTGTTGATCACAAACTCCTACACAGAAAAAGAGTGACAGAGTTTTCCTTTCCTATGGCTCATCTCGACTCCTTGGCTCAGTACAATGATTACTGTGAAACAGATCCACGTCCTCTAGCAGGACGCAATCAGGTGATTCCACGGCAGAAGAGAAGACAAAACCCCCAAGCCCCTGGGGATAATATACTCAGCTCTCACTCCCAAACACCCCACCGGCAAGGTTCACACAAGAAAGGATGACACGTCTAAGGATCTGGGGCCCCTAGGTGGATGAGTCCACGTCTGTGTGTTTTATCTTGTCTGCTGGGCATTGCACCTTCTGGACAAATCACTTGGTTCCTCATGCCCTCCACTCTTGCCCAGGCCTTGAAAATCTCTGCCTCAATGATATGGCTCTGTTGTTTAAATGGCAACTAACTGAAGGCCCAAACTGTATGCTGGAAATGCAAGCAAGATTAGTAGGCGCCCATGACCTATTCCCACCACTGCTTAGAATCTCAGCCCACACAATCGTGATTTTTATAAAAGGAAAAAAAAAAAAAACCTCACTTGAGCCTTTGGATGATTGGTTCAGATCCTGCCACTCCATTTTCTTGATCAATGAATAGAATAATTAAAAGTTCCCCCCAAATGCGTAAGCCCTTAAATTGAAGCATTTGTAAATAATTCTCTATCTTATAGGGGAAAGAATCTTAGAATATGCGACCCAGTTTGTCTCCATCATATGACGAAGGATTTCAGCTCCAAACAGTCTGAAATTAACATTGGTCAAGAAGAAGATGCAGGGTTTTTGTTTTCAGGCTCTGCTTAACCTGGGTCTTCTTTCTCCTCCTCTTGGGAAGCCAGTGCAGAATCACAATAGAAATGCTCCCTTCTTCGCTTCTGATTCAGCTCGCCACCCGGCTTACCCTGAAACCTCTTGTCAAGGAGGTACTCACAGTAACTGCCAGCTCTGAATACAGGGTCCCTGGGGCAGGTCAGGGAATCCAGGGGAAATGGCAAAAGAGCAGAACTGCACATCTAATTGGAGCTGACAATATCGAAGAGGTCACTGAACTAAACCAGCAAGCGATTGATCATGTAAAGATTATCTCAGAGTTCAGATTTTAAAGTCTATGGACTATACTTTCCCACTGGCCAAGAAATACATTCTTGAAGCCTAAGAAAACATTCTCTGACATGTGTTTGCACAAGGAAACTTTTAACATGTGCAAGCGCTTTTCAGAAACATAAATGGACAAGCTGAATCTTTTTAAGGGAAGTCCCTGGAGACTGCCCTTGTCTTATCAGGCCAGCCAGGATTGCTCAAAGAAAGGAATTATTTGAGGCTGGGTGCAGTAACAACCACAACAAAAACACCACACAAAAAAAACCCCGTGTGGTAAAGGGATGCTTACCCCTCAAGGCTAGGAAGGGAAGTAGCAGAGTAACATTGACCTGGCAGCAAAGATCTGGTGGGATAGAGAAGAGACAGGAGGCCATCCATCCCCATAAACATCTGAGACACTCTGGGAAAGAAGGCTTGTCACTTCTGGCAAAAACCTTGATTTGGGAAAGTCTGCACAAGCCAAAATGCTGGCATTAAAGTGTGATCTAAATAATGCACACCATGTGTGTCAGTTCCTACCATAATTAGTTGTTGAAGGCCAACAAAATGGTCAGTACTGTAAGCACTAAAAAAAAAAAAAGAAAGAAAAAAAAAAGGCTTTGCCCAAAGAGCCTGTAGCCTCATTTTTGCTATTTAGCATAAACTGTAAAACTAAAATTCTCTGTTACCTCTTAATTATCCCTACCACTACCTGAGCCACTGTCCAAAAATAAAAATAAAACAGCCAACCCACCGAAATGAATAACCAAAACATGTAAGAGATTGAAACAGTCCTTGAGGGAGAGAGGGCTCATTTGATATGCTCTCCCATTTTAAAAGGGAAATGAAGGGGGAAACACTGAAAGCAATGAAGGAGAAATCCATTCCCCGTTATGTCAATCCTCAATGGCCTGAGTTTATGATGGGCTTATTCTCCCTCTCACTCCCACCGGAGAAAGAGCGTTCACCGGAGTCTCCTCACCATCATGACTGCAGCTTTGTAACTCCCCTGCAGAAGGCAACAGCTGCCGAAGCACGCCAGGTAGCTAAATCATTTGTGCTGTTTAGGGAAAATGGGACCCGCCCAGGGAAATGATTTTTGTGGGGAAAAAATAATAACTGTCAGAAGAAACAAATAAATAAAAATTCTGGGTGGGGTTTCTTTTTTCTCCTTTAATGAGAGCAGGGTGACCTCACTACCGTGGTTTAGGGAAAGAAAAAACTGACCAACCAAACACTCAAAAGATGTTTGGTTGGCACGTCACCATTGGCAGGAAAGCTAAGCTCTTAGGGGCAGTCTCACTTGAAGCAGACTCGCTCATTAACTGCAGATGCAGAGTCAGTTTCCTAACCTATCAGAGCCTCAGTTTCTCCACCTAACAATTAGGGACAATAGTATCTTCCTAGAAAACTACAGGATATTTAACACAATGTTACACGTAGAGTGCTTAGCCTGATGTCTAGCAACATGTGCTAAATTACCAGAAGTGGCTTACCGTCATGTTATGGGATGGTTATTGCGAGGGAATAAGGTAAAGTATACAGAAGGTGTTCGATACAGAGCCTGGCACATAGTGAGCATTCAGTTCAGTCCTTATTCTTGCTCTGTATGACCTTGGACATCACTGACTATTGTAGAGAACTAGCACCTGGGCAGGAGGACAGGAAGAACATATTCCAACACAACCCTCGCTTGAATCTGTCATTCTAAACCCTGATCACCTCTAACTAGCACTTGTGGGGCAGGAAAACCTGCTAACCAAAGTTCAGACTCTAAAGGACAAACTCAGCAAAAATGAAGAATAGACTGAGTAGCCACACCTACACTCCTGCCCCGAGCTTGCACACATATATTTACCCAAACCCACGTCTAGAAAGAACTTCAAAATTTATGTATTCCTTTGTCATTCTTAGGAAAACCCAGTATCAAACAAGGAACTACGAAGGAGAGTGAAAGAAGTAAATAGTTTCTTTATTCGGAGGGAGTAGGAGCTAAAGAAATAGAGACTTCCTTAGATTTATAGAGCAGTGATTTCGCCCTGCGGGCTGTGACACATTCATGGAGAGGGATCAATTTAGAGTGTCTTGACGAACTGTTTTTTATTAATGAGAATGGAAGGGAAACTAATGAAGTTCACCACATATACTAATGATAGTAAAAGCAAGATTGTTTTGTGAGATTCTGTTTGGGTTGCCATGTGAATTTTCCTGTCAGTCACGGTTAAAAACACTGCTTCCTGCCAGTAATGAGGGCTTGGTTCCTGGTAAGGAAACACCAGCGCACACCGTGCCCTCCTGCAACACGGTGCAAAGGGGAATACAAACAAAAGCATCTCTTCCAGTCATTTACTCGTTGCGGGTGGGAAGGATGACAAAATGGCGCTGGTACTGTTCTCACAGAGTTGTCACAAGGCGTCCAATTAACAAGAGCAGGTAAAGTGCGCAAAGCAGTGCCCGCACATGGTAGGTGCTGAGAAAGTGTTGTCTGACATTAGACACATGAAGGCTTAGCATATGTCTCCCTCCACTAAAGCGCTTGGGCAACTGTTCTAAATCTGAGTGCCTCAGGCCAGAGAGCACACACAGAGGATGTGAGGTTGACCTCAGGAAGAAGGAGAGTCTGGTCCTCAACAGGTTTCCTGCCGCTCTGAACTGCGAAACGATGGGCAGAATCCTCACCTGTGCAGAGAGGTCAAAGGTGGCTTCAGTCTGGATCCCTCTCACGTTGCTCCCATGGCCCCTCTCGGTCATTGCAAACATCCCAGTGTATTTCTGCTCCTGGAGTTTACCAAATATTAGAAGGGAATTAGCTTGTCAGATGCTTGCTCTAACTGCAGACCTCTGATCATCAAGGATGTGGGTGAGGGAGGGAGCAGTGAGTTGGAGATAATTCTAAGAGTTCAGCCTGGTAACAGCTAATGTGATAACAACATGACAATTCTTTTAAAAAATAGTCTTGAAATTCTCATTCTGAACAAGATTCTCACTGACACTAATTCTCTTATTTTCTTTCTCTGCAAACATGCACACACGTACACATCTAGTTAGTACGAATTAAGGCTCTCCATAGAAGAAGACATCTATTGAGGTACCTGCCATACCTGGAGTGGCTGAAGCCACTTAGTGACATGTTCTGGACTTCCAAGGTTCCTGACGGCACCACCAAATAGCCAATAAATTATTCCACACTGAAAACAAGGACAATATAGACCATTGTTAGTGAGAGTCAACAATTTAATGACAACTAAACCCCTGGCCAAACTCCATTCAAGGAGAATTTGTTCCGCTCATCAAGCTTTACATAAGCCCCACAAGTGGCAAAGCATGCATGCCCTTCCCCTTTATTGCCTGGAATGCTCCAGTTCCTTTCTGCAGGCATAGCTCATGGTTGTCTCTCTTGGACAGGCCACCCCAACACCACAAAGCATCACTCCTTCATCCAGTTCAGCCCACCAAATTACTTTTTTTTTTCATTTTATTTCATCATGATAAGTGCACTCTTTAATCCCCATCCCGTTTCTTTTTTTTTTTTTTTAAGATTTTATTTATTTGACAGAGAGAGACACAGCGAGAGAGGGAACACAAGCAGGGGGAGTGGGAGAGGGAGAAGCAGGCCTCCCGCAGAGCAGGGAGCCCGATGAGGGGCTCGATCCCAGGACCCTGGGACCGTGACCTGAGCCGAAGGCAGACACTTAACAACTGAGCCGCCCAGGCGCCCATTTCCCCTAACCCCTCACCCACCTCTCAGTAACCATCAGTTTGTTCTCTATAGTTAAGAGTCTGTTTCTTAGTTTGTCTCTCTCTTTTTTTTTTCTTTTCTCACTTGTTTTGTTTCTTAAATTCCACATATGAATGAAATCATATGGTATTTGTCTTTCTCTGACTTATTTTGCCTAGCATTGTACTCTTTAGCTCCATCTATGTTGTTGCAAATGGCAAGATTTCATTCTTTTTTATGGCTGAGTAATATTCCATTGCATATATACACCACATCGTCTTCATCCATTCATCAGTCGATGGACACTTGGGCTGCTTCCATAATTTGGCTATTGTAGATAATGCTGCTATAAACATAGAGGTGTAAGTATCCCTTCGAATTAGTGTTTTTGTATTTTGGTTGTAAATACCCAGTAGTGCAATTACTAGATTGTAGGGTAGTTTCTATTTTTAACTTTTTGAGAAAACCATACCATTTCTTACAGTGACTGCACCAGTTCACATTCCCACCAGCAGTGCACGAGGGTTCCTTTTTCTCCACATCCTCGCCGATACCTGTTTCTTGTGTTTTTGATTTTAGCCATTCTGACAGGTGTGAGGTGATAGCTCATTGTAGTTTTGATTTGCATTTCCCTAACGATGAGTGATATTGAGCACCTTTTCATGTGCTTGCTGGCCATCTGTGTGTCTTCTTTGAAGAAATGTTTGTTCATGCCTTCTGCCCATTTTTGAATTGAATTATTTGTTTTGGGGGTATTGAGTTGTATTAGTTCTTTATATATTTTGAATATTAATCCTTTATTGAATATGTCATTTACAAATATATTTTCCCATTCAGTAGGTTGACTAGTTTTGTTGATTGTTTCTTTCACTGTGCAGAAACATTTTGTTTTGATGTAGTCACAAATAATTTATTTTTGCTTTTATGTGCCTTGCCTCAGGAGACATATCTAGAAAAATGTTGCCACAGCCAAGGTCAGAAAGATTACTGCCTGTTTTGTCTTCTCGTATTTTTATGGTTTCATGTCTCACATTTATGTTCTTCAATCCATTTTGAGTTTATTTTTGTGTATGGTGAAAGTGGTCCAGTTTCATTTTTCTACATGTGGCTGTCTAGTTTTCCCAAAACCATTTGTTGAAGAGACTGTCTTTTTCCCATTGTATAGTCATTCCTCCTTTGTCAAAGATTAATTGACCATATAATTGTGGGTTTATTTCTGGGTTTTCTGTTCTATTCCATTGATGTACATCTCTATTTTTATGCCAGTAACACATACAGTTTTAATTACTACAACTTTGTAATATAACTTGAAATCTGGAATTGTGATACCTCCAGTTTTGTTTTTCTCGCAAATGACACTTCTGAACATTCAGTCTGCCGCATCTGCTCAGGGGCTAGCTTAGTGCCTGGTATGTAGAAGATGTGTAACAAAGTATTTGTGCACTGATCCCAGGCACTGGCCCAGTCTGCAGAGGTGAGCCCTACCATGAGAAACAGTCAGCAAACAGGAAAGCAGATGAAAAATACAATGCTGCATAATGAGCAGGCACTCAGCCAGGGATGAGACAGCCTGGGCTCAAAGCACCCCTCAGCTACCCACTGGCTGAGGAACCTTCGACAAATGGCAATCCTCAGTTTCCACATCTGACAAATGCAGTGCGTGATGAGTGCTCCCACTTACTGAACAGTCACCCTTCTAAGCATTGAGCTTCATACACACAAGCCCACTGGGATTCTCACAATCACACTGGGAAAAACATCTTGGAAAAAAACATGTTTTTTCACCCCCACTTGACAGACAAGGACACAGGTTCAGAGAGAGGAGTGATGTGTCCAAGGCTGTACCCTGAGATGGTGAGCAGGGCTGGGGTCCAAACCCAAGCTGCCTAATGCCTAATAGCACTGCATAAGGTTGCTGCGAGAATTCAGTGACGGTCAACTGCCAAGTACTTTGGTCTCTTATAAACCCTGGAAAAGTATTGCTGGCAAGGAGGAAGTGGAGGAGGAGGAAGATGAGGAGGAAGATGAGAAGGAAGATGAGAAGGAAGGGTAGCTGGAGTGGGGCCATTTGAGGGGAGTAGGGGACTGATGACAAAGACAGAAGAGCTCAAGTGTATAGACACTGGCTGTGTCTGCAGATTAGCATGCTTCCTCTGCCCGGCCACCCAACCCCAGCTTTCCTCTGGGGAGCCCTCCTCTCCCACAGTCAGTCCAAGTGGTTTGTGGCTGATGTTGACCTCCACCCCCAACTCTAGGATGAGCCTAGGACCAGGACTGGCCAACCTGCATAATATCTATAATATCCTGGCCACAGGGGATGGCTTCAGCATAGACCTGTGCTCTGGGTGGGTCCAACCATAGCATCCTCCAGGACACATGGGTGAGCTAGTAGGCAAAAGAAACTCTCTCTTTTTCATTGCAATGGAATCTGGAAGTATGGAGGCCTAGTGCTGCTGGCTGCTCTTGCCATCATGAGAGCTGGTGTATGAAACCAACACATGAAGTCACAGTAGGGAGAAGGAGACAAAGCAGAGACATGAGAGAGACCAGGTCCCACATATCCACACCTGCTGCACTCTGGACTCTTCAGTTACAACAGCCAATAGGTATACCCTTTCTCCCTGGGGTCATTACAGTTGAATGAGCTTTAGTGGACACAGTAACCCTAAGGAAGACCCTGCAGGAAGGGAAATGGCAGGAATGGGATCTTCAGATGCTCCTGCCCAAGAACTGTCACCAGCCTCGGGCAAGAACCAGTCCCCACACTCCACATGTGTGATTGGCCTGGTACTAACTGTCTGAAAGGGCACTTTACCAACTTTAACAGCTCTGACATCATGACAGATGGATTTCATTAATCACATCTGACATATGAAGTGCTTTCATTTGGAGAATCATTAAGCATCCTCGGAATCATCATGACACTGAAAATCACATTACTAATTCCAACATCAGGAAGATGCAATCAATCCAAATAGTGATTTTTCCCCCCATTAATCATCTTGGAAATCAAGTTAAAAAAAGCATTTTTCTAAAACTAAAACAGGTTGAATTTTCCATCCCTAAATCTCTCTAGTTGGTGGCTAATGCATTATTTACAAATAAATTCCTTCTCTGGATTTTAAATCCTTCCTCCTCTTTAGAAAGGGGTGTTGGGGAGAATATTTTATCCACATTTTTGAAAACTTCCATTCATTAAATGTCATTAGGAGGAGCACTGGGCTGGTGAAGGAAACTTGTAGGTTTGCAGAAACTGCAGTAGTTAACAGGTGGTATCTGCGTGACCCCAATCCACACAGTCACTTAAAATGTGAGGATTTTCCCCTAAGTGCTGGTCAGTGTGTTGCCAAAGCCACGTTCTCTGAAAGGCAGATAATCTGACCCAATGGGGCCGATGCAGGGGAAGCACCTGAGGGTTCCAAGCAAATGACTCTCTCGCCTGACCCAAGCTTTCAGCAGGGGCCTCCTCTGAGGAGCATGGAGCCCAGCCCAGCCAGCAGAAAGGAGGTGCCCACCAAACAACCACTGAGGTAAGCCAGTGAGCAGTGGCCAGACTGCGTTGGTGAGAAGTAAGGGTATTCAAGGTAGATTCTGGAGAGAGAGCTGATGGGTTGGATTTGGGAGAAGGCAAGAGAGGACCCTAGGTGACCCCTGAGTTTTTAGCCTGAGACTCCAGATGGATGAAAGCCCGTTAACTGCTTGGTGGGGGCCGGGTGAGGGGTTGCTTGCAAGAGGAGGCAAGGAGGAGGGGACCGATTCCCTAAGACAGGGATGCAGGAACTGAATGAAGTAGGGCACTAACCTATCACAAGGGAGCAGGGCCAAGTGTCCTCTCGCTGCCTTCACTGCCCAGTGGGCACCCTGGCCTCCAGCCCACCTCAGCAGACAGGACCCAGAGAAGTCTATTTGTTCTGAGAAAGACCAAAGAAAACAGTGGCAAGGAAATAAAACAAAGGGGAGGACACCTAACAAAATCTCTAAATCTATACCCACCTTGCACTGTTTGTTTGGGAAAGCTCCCTCTCTCCTTTCTCACTCTTCTGGAGGAGGAGAAGGACAGCTACATCAGGTACATGAGGTCATGAGCACAACATGCCCAGTGATGGCTGGCAGTAGCCTCTGGAGGCCATGGTCAGAGCTACCTGAGGGCTGGGAACTGCCATCAGGGCAGGTTGAGGGGGTTCAAGGATGGGGCCTCTTCACTGCCAAGTGATGACCAACATGTCCCACCATGGCAGGGAAAGCAAGTGGGCTGGAGCTGGAACACAGGTTGATTTCACCTCAATCCACTGACTGAGCCACTACCTAGAAGACTGCTAGGAAGGGTTCTGGGCCACATCTTGGGGGAGTACCATCCTGGCCCTGCTACATGTCAGCCATAGCATGCAGCTCCTCATAGGCATCATCAATTTAAATCTGAACACAGCCCATGAACGGGCATTAGCAGAAGAGAAAACAAAGGTCGCCCATCATGAACTTAGATTAAAAGAAATGTTCGTGAACTTTGACTGTGAAGTCCTAGAGACAGGAAGTAAACCCACGTCATTCTGACTGTCTCCCCGCCACGATGGACCAGGCAGGTCTGTCATGCACGCCAGGAAGTCTGCCAGTGTAATGGCTATGATAGGCCAGGCCCTTCCTACACCACAGTCCAACAGTGGGTCCCCTAAAGAACATTCAACTACATTCAGACTCTTTTCATTCCAAGAGCAAATGGAACACACTGAGGCACTGCAAGTGGTTTTTGACACAATGGTGACCCCAGAAAGGATAGTGCTGTGGACTGCATTGGCTTTCCCCCAAAATGCATGTGCTGAAGCCTTAACCCTCAGTGTGATGGTATTAGGATATGGGATATGGGGTCTTTGGGAACTAATTAAATTTAAATGAGGTCATTAGTGGAACCTTCATGATGGGATTAGTGCCCTTATAAGAGATACCAGAGAGTGCTCTCTCTGTCTGTCTCTCTCTGCCCAAACCCAGTGTGAGGACACAGTAAGAAGGCAGCCATCTACAGGAACTGAATCAGCTGGACCTTGATCTTGCCAGCCTCTAGAACTGTGAGAAAATTAATTTCTGTTATTTAAGCCACATGAACTGTAGTATTTTATCATGGCAGCCCAAACAAACTAAGACAGACAGTAGGGTGGTTCAGATAAAGGAAAAGGGGAATAGTCATAGGGAAGAAGAAAAGGAAGGATGTCATATTTCTTTGGGCCCTAGAGTCCCTCCGGACTACATCAGCGTGTCTGGTAGAAGACCTTGGGGGCTGGCTCCCAAGCTAAAGCAGGGATTCAAAGCCCTCAGTAAAGGAAGTCTTTTCTTGGCACCTCTCACTTTCCCACCCCACCCCCCACCCCAACCTCCCTGTGAGTCATTCTCAGAGCCAGCCCCTGGCCCTGCCACCACTTGGCTGTGTTAGTCCAACTATGTTTGTCTAAAACGCTCAGGGACACCCAGAGCCTTTGGATAACACAGACGTGGAGGGAGAGAGAAAAGGGGCCCAGGCCTGTGGGGCACAGATGACTTAGATGAACTGCTGCGGACACTCCCTCATCAGGCTGACAGCCAGCCCATGTGCAGGTGTAAAAGGAAAGCAGGTAGAGGCTACCAGCTGCTCATGGGCTGGCAGCGAGGTCTGGGGATACCCTGACCAACCCAGGGCTCACAGGAACTGTTCTGAGCACACCACATCTCCCTCCATTGCCCAAAGGAAAGACAGACAACGGCCCTCCGGGCTGGACTCCGGAGCACCATCTACACATTCTTCTAACTGTCTGGGATATCCAAACACAAGAAAAACAAGTCCTCTGCAATGAATGATGTGTGGGAAAGCAAACAGCATTCATGATAACTTTTGTTAAATTTTTAAAGTTTTTTTTTTATTGTGGCACAATGCATTTAACATAGTTTGCGTTTAAGCCATTATTAAGTATACAACTCAATGGTATGAATTAGATTCACACTGTTGTGCGACCATCACCACTATCTCCAAAACTTTTTCATCACCCCAAACAGGAACTCTGTGCCCTGCCACCACTCCCCATTCTTTTGCTCCTCCAGCCTCTTGTAACCCATAATCTGCTTTCTGTCTCTACGAATTTGCCTATTCAAGAAATTTCACGTAAGTGGAATCATACAATCTTTGTCCTGTTGTGTCTGGCTTATTTCACTTAGAGTCATGTTTTCAAAGTTCATCCATGTTGTAACATGTGCCAGAAGTTCATTCCATCATATGTATGTACATTTTGTCTATCCGTTCTTCTGTTGACAGACATTTGGTTTGTTTCCACCCTTTAGCTATTGTGAATAATGCTGCAATGAACATTGGCATACAAGTATCTGTTTGAGTCCCTGTTTTCAGTTTTGGGGGGTATATACCTAGGAATGGATTTCCTGAGTCACATGGTAATTCTACATTTAACGTTGCTAGTAAGCCCATTTCGATTCTATATATTCATTTGATTCTCCTGTATTGACACTATATAACAAGAATGTAGGGGATGATAGTCTTCAAGAAATTTGCTCTCTAGTGGTGCTAAGAGACATACAGCAATTAGACACATGACTAAATCCAAAAGATCAAAGCAGGCACATACTGTGGCAGACAACTGAAAGGTACAAAGACAGATGACAAGTAGATAGGATTTAAACTGCAGGCTTGAGGGAGGCTTCCCTGAGGGGAGGACACTTGGTCTGGGACTTGAAGAATGACCAGGTGTCAGGCAGGTGAAGGAGGGGAAAAATTCCATTCTAGGGTGATGGCAAGAGTGGCCCAAAAGTGGATGAGAAGAATGAAAGAAGGCCAATATGTCAGGTCTCCTAGGGAGGAGGACAAAGTGAGACAGAAGGTATCTGGAGAAGCGAGTAGGGCCAAACCACACAAGAATCCATGGGCCATATCAAAACTAGGAGGGCTTCTCTAAAGCATAAGGAGAAGAAGTTTTAAGCAGAGGAGTGACACGATCAGGGAAGCATTTTTAAAGACCTATTTCTTTCTTTTTTTAAAAGATTTATTTATTTGAGAGAGAGAGAGAGCATGGGGGGGTGGGGAAGAGGGAGAGGGAGAGAGAGAGAATCTCCAGCAGACTCCCCGCTGAGCCCAGAGCCTGATGCAGGCTTGATCCCATGACCCTGAGATCACGACCTGAACCAAAATCAAGAGTCAGACGCTTGACTGAACCACCAGGTGCCTCAAGACCTGTCTTTAAATCTATTCATATTTTCCTCTAGGATACTCAGGAGCAAAACTTTTTTAAAAGCTTTTTATTTTGGAAAATTTCAACCAAAATCCAAAAGTATAATGAACTCAGCTATGACCAGCTCATGGTCCATTTTGCTTTATCCCCCAATCCACTTTCCCACTCTACATCCCAGGTAATCTTAAAGTTTATCCCAGACATCCTGTCATTTCATCCCTAAATATGTCCTATACATCTGTAAATGATAGTCTTTCTAAAAATGTAACCCTAAAACCATTACCCCACCTAAAAATATAATTCTTTAATATGACCAAATATCCAATGTTTATATTTCCCCCACTGACACATAGTTTTTCTTTAAGGTTTGTTTGAACCAGAATCTAAATAAGGTCCACACATTGCAAGTGGTCGAAATGTGTCTTAAGTCTGCTTTAAACTGCAGGCTGCTCCTCCCTTATTCATTCAAACATTCCCTGTGTAATTCTAGGCATTAGGGTCAGTGCAAGACCCTAAAGATGCCGAGGAGACGGTTCCCCACCTAGAATGCTGGAACACCCAGCGGGGATTTCTGCATGGTCATATCCCACCACACGCTTGCTGAAAAGAAGACGGTAGAGAGCAATATGGAAAAAACACAAACTGAGGATCATGAATCTAGATCAGGATCAGGGAACTCTAGTATTTCTGAGAGAGGAATCTATCTGCTGCATCTCAGCTGAATTTCTTCTGTCTGGAAGCCACAGCCAACCCAACTAGGAGGGAAGAGACCCAGCTGAAATCACAGGGAAGCCAGTCTCCCACAAAGGATCTAATGGTGGGTGCCTTCACCACCGATGAACTCACAATTTTCTTTGTTTTTAATTCCTACTCATTTTTAAATGTCTACAAGGCAAAAACAAAAATAACTGCCATTTTGGACTCACCAATGATTGACCTGGCTTTCCTGTCTGATCATTCTCTTCATGTTCTAGTAATTTCTCCCCTTTGGGGACATCAGGACTGAATGTTTGGATGCAGGCACAGTGGTGTCCAGGGAGAGAAAGGAGAGCATATGCAGGCCTACACAAATGGCCCTCCACTGGGGACTTAGGGGACCATGAGGAGCCATGGCCATCACACCCACTGGACTATTCTGTTCACCATTCCTGATGATCTGGGATACACAAAGCAAATCCATGGTGCAATGCCATTTTATACCCATATGAACAGCAAAAATGAAGAAGGCTAAGAATTCCAAGCATTGTAGCATATTCACACAAAGGAATATGAGAAATGAATGAACTTCCATCCATATATCATTCTCAAAATGGTGAAACTATAGAGAAGAGATTAGTGGTAGCCTAAGAACAAGAATGAGGTGGGGACTGGGTACAACTGCAAATGGGTAGCACTGTAAGTTTCTTTGTGGTGATGAAACAGCATGAATCCATATATAGAACCAAACTGCATAGAACTGCACACACACACACACACACACACACACACACACACACACACACTGGGGTGTATGTAAAAGCTAGTGAAATCTGAAGAAGGTCTATAGTCTAGTACTGTACTAGAACAGTACTGTAGCAGTGGTGATTTACTACTTTTACATTGCATTACAGCTGTATAAGATGTCACTACAGAGGGAAACTGGGTAAAGAGTTCATATGACTCTACGTATTACTCTTGTAACTTCCTGTGAGCATTATTATTTCAAAATAAAAATATTTAAAAAACAAGTACGAAGGCATGGCATGCCACAATACAGATTGATCTTAGTGATCATATTTAAGTGAAGAAAGTAAATCATGAGACTTTTTCTAAAAATTAAAACAAATGAAAATAATTGTTTGACAGTGCAGTACAACTAAACAAAAAGAAAAGCCAAGAACAAACAAGCACGAGGTTGAATATAATGGTTAAAGAGGAAATCAAGGGGATGTAAAATGGTACACCTGTAAAAAGGTGTACCATTTTACAAACATCTATTCCAGTAAACAGACTGATACCTGTGGGGTTCTACTTTGTGCTCCTTGCCGTTCAAAACTAAGTAGCAGCTAATGAAGGGCGGGGTGCCCAGAGCCTCTCACCTTTACTCCTGTGGCCATGTCCGCTATGGAGAGGACTTCTCCTATGACCAGGCTTCGACTGACAAAATTCTTTGTTTTCTCTGCCTGAAAACATGACAGACCCAATGTCAAGGTTTCCTTATGATTTTAAAATTAAATTAACATTTTAATTTAACTTAACATCTTCATAATAAACGTATGTTACTTTATTAATAAAACTCCACCGCAATAAAAGCAATTTTTGAATTTTAAATACGCCCACGACCCTACTGAAATAAACGTTTTCATCCAGGTTTTTAACGTGGCCTTCCAGTCTCTGACCACCTATGAGGAGAGTCGACTTCATCCCCACGGAGGGCAGGCTGCTGACAGACTCCCCCGGGGGCCTTGTGCTTCCTTAACCGAGTTTGTCCCTCGCGGCTCCCCGAGTCCGACACCCTCCATGCTTCTGCCTAGCAACGGCGGGATCTCCCTAGCAACGACGGTTCTGCCTAGCAACATGGGCCTGCCGCGTCTCCACGTGGGGTGGACCAATGCTCCCACCAACAGGGGACGCCTGGCTCCAATCCCCGCGACAACCTTGGTGGGAAGACAGAGGATCCGGAAGGTTTGGGAACATTGTGTACACAGGAAAAGCAATATTCTTCACTTTCCTTTCTAGCCGTAGACCACCTCAGGGCTTGGATATATTAAACACCATGAGGTCCCAGTCCCCCTTCACTGCCCTCCTCTCTGTCGCTGTATACAACAGCCACAAATCCCAAAGCTAGGCGAGTATACTCTTCACCAGTGAGAAATGAGACAGGGCAAAAACCCTGAGGCTATTTCATTTTTAAAAGTCAGAGGCAGGCGGCATTTCCTTAGAAGGTGGTGGGCCCCTGAGTGCGCAGGCTGCAATTATCCACTGTTGGAATTAATGTTAGTCTTCCTTATTCTCCAATCTCTTCTGAGACCCAGCCAACAAAGCTGGTACTTGTTACCCTTGTGTACGTGCGTGTGTACATGTGTGGTTTGTGCACACGTGTGTGTGTGTGTGCGCCTGTATGGACCTGTGCCTGAAAACTGCCCCACTGGCATCAGGATGGTAACCAACCTTCCTAGGGTGACTCTCAGTTTCCACAATGGCTTAAGTTCTTTCCCCAAAACGCACTAGGTTTTCTCCTCCTGTAGGTTTTTACAATGTTTCTTTCAAGCATTATTAATTTTATCAAACAGCAGACTGTCAAGATTTATGACTCTTATGGCGGCTCCAACCCAATGCATCTTGTATCGATTATTTCTTAAAATAACTCCAGCTTGAGCATGAACCATTGTATGGCTCCAGCTTCAAAATCCTAACTGGAGAGGTAGTTATCAGCAAATAATTTAAAAAAAAAAAAACTGTAGCGGATATTTGCAGACTTTTTCAGAGGGCCCATGTGTCCTCTATCCTGTGGCTCCTCACAACCCTCCATGAGAGGCTAAGCAAGAAAGGAAGTACAGACCCCAAGTAACCAGATAGAAAAGTCTAGACTCAGGAGGTCAGACAACTTGTACAACAGGATCACCTAGTAAGTGGAAAAGCAAGGCCAGAAACAAGATCTTCAGATTCCTCGGGTGCCTGGGTGGCTCAGTTGGTTAAGCGACTGCCTTCGGCTCAGGTCATGGTCCTGGAGTCCCGGAATCGAGTCCCGCATCGGGCTCCCTGCTCGGCAGGGAGTCTGCTTCTCCCTCTGACCCTCTTCCCTCTCATGCTCTCTATCTCTCATTCTCTCTCTCTCAAATAAATAAATAAAATCTAAAAAAAAAAAAAAGATCTTCAGATTCCTCATATGGACATCTTGCCCCCACCCCTCACTCTGAAGCTTATAGAAGTCCCAGGACCCTAGGTGGCCCAGACTTTATTGTCAGTGCACCCTTATTTAGTACCACCAGCCTTGTCCCCAGGGGACACCTGACATCAACACATCCCAGTGCCCAAGTGATCTTCCTGAGAGTCACCCCATCCTACATCATTACAACAAACCTTTCCTTACCTTAAACCACCTGCTCTGTTGTGGCCAAACCTAAACCATCAGGAGTAAGTAAATCCCTCAGAATCCCCAACTGGTCATAGTTTTCTTCATATTTCATTCCCTCCATTTATACTGTTGATGCAAGAGCATGCCTTTGTCATTAATGCTGTCCAACTGTGGTCATTTTTACTCACCAGTTTGAAATAAATTCAATCACATTTGCTAAAGAATCAACCCCAAACTTAGCCATCTTAGTGCATTATGAATTATTTATGATGATTATTTTCCTTCCCCAGTCTCTGCACAAGTCAGCAATCTTTGCTATTAGATCTGATGGGCAACGCCAATATGAGTTTGCCATTAATCCTCTGATGGTGATTTAAGGATTCATTTGGACTGGTTTATTTTAAGAAGTCAAGCAAAAACTAAACGAGAAAAATATGCAGCCAAGAATACTATATCCAGCTAGGCTCTCATTGAAAATTGAAGGAGAGATAAAAAGCTTCCAGGACAAACAAAAACTAAAGGAATTTGCAAACACGAAACCAGCCCTCCAAGAAATATTGAAAGGGGTCCTCTAAGCAAAGAGAGAGACTAAAAGCAGCACAGATCAGAAAGGAACAGAGACAATATACAGTCACAGTCACCTTACAGGCAATACAATGGCACTAAATTCATACCTTTCAATAGTTACCCTGAATGTAAATGGGCTAAATGTCCCACTCAAAAGACACAGGCTATCAGATTGGATTAAAAAACAAGACCCATCAATATGCTGTCTGCAAGAGACTCATTTTAGACCCAAAGACACCCCCAGATTGAAAGTGAGGGGGTGGAAAACCATTTACCATGCTAATGGACACCAAAAGAAAGCTGGGGTGGAAATCCTTATATCAGACAAATTAGATTTTAAACCAAAGACTGTAATAAGAGATGAGGAAGGACACTATATCCTACTTAAAGGGTCTATCCAACAAGAAGATCTAACATTTGTAAATATCTATGCCCCGAACATGGGAGCAGCCAATTATATAAGGCAATTAATAACAAAAGGGAAGAAACACATTGACAGCAATACAATAATAGTGGGGGACTTTAACACCCCCCTGACTGAAATGGACAGATCATCTAAGCAAAAGATCAACAAGGAATAAAGACTTTAAATGACACACTGGACCAAATGGACTTCACAGACATATTCAGAACATTCCATCCCAAAGCAACGGAATACACATTCTTCTCTAGTGCCCATGGAACATTCTCCAGAATCGATCACATCCTAGGTCACAAATCAGGTCTCAACTGGTACCAAAAGACTGGGATTATTCCCTGCATATTTTCAGACCACAGTGCTTTGAAACTAGAACTCAATCACAAGAGGAAAGTTGGAAAGAACTCAAAGACATGGAGGCTAAAGAGCATCCTACTAAGGAACGAATGGGTCAACCAGGAAATTAAAGAAGAATTTAAAAAATTCATGGAAACCAATGAAAATGAAAACACAACTGTTCAAAATCTTTGGGATACAGCAAAGGCAGTCCTGAGAGGAAAGTATATAGCAATACAAGCCTTTCTCAAGAAACAAGAAAGGCCTCAAATACACAACCTAACCCTACACCTAAAGGAGCTGGAGAAAGAACAGCAAATAAAGCCTAAACCCAGCAGGAGAAGAGAAATCATAAAGATCAGAGCAGAAATCAATGAACTAGAAACCAAAAGAACAGTAGAACAGATCAACGAAACTAGCAGCTGGTTCTTTGAAAGAATTAACAAGATTGATAAACCCCTGGCCAGACTGATCAAAAAGAAAAGAGAAATGACCCAAATCAACAAAATCATGAATGAAAGAGGAGAGATCACAACCAACACCAAAGAAATACAAACAATTATAAGAACATATTATGAGCAACTCTATGCCAGCAAATTAGATAACCTGGAAGAAATGGGTGCATTCCTAGAGATGTATCAACTACCAAAATTGAACCAAGAAGAAATAGAAAACCTGAACAGACCTATAACTACTAAGGAAATTGAAGCAGTCATCAAAAATCTCCCAACAAACAAAAGCCCAGGGCCAGATGACTTCCCAGGGGAATTCTATCAGACATTTAAAGGAGAATTAATACCTATTCTCCTGAAACTGTTCCAAAAAATAGAAATGGAAGGAAAACTTCCAAACTCATTTTATGAGGCCACCATTACCTTGATCCCAAAACCAGACAAAGACCCCATCAAAAAGGAGAACTACAGACCAATATCCTTGATGAACATGGATGCAAAAATTCTCACCAAAATACTAGCCAATAGGGTCCAACAGTACATTAAAAGGATTATTCACCATGACCAAGTGGGATTTATCCCTGGGCTGCAAGGCTGGTTCAACATCCGCAAATCAATCAACGTGATACAAATACATTAACAAAAGAAAGAACAAGAATCATATGATCCTCTCAATAGATGCAGAAAAAGCATTTGACAAAGTACAGCATCCTTTCTTGATCAAAACTCTTCAGAGTATAGGGATAGAGGGCACATACCTCAATATCATAAAAGCCATCTATGAAAAACCTACAGCCAATAACATTCTCAATGGGGAAAAGCTGAGAGCTTTTCCCCTAAGGTGGGGAACACGGCAGGGATGTCCACTATCACCACTGCTATTCAACATAGTATTAGAAGTCCTAGCCACAGCAATCAGACAACAAAAGGAAATCAAAGGCAACCAAATCGGCAAAGAGGAAGTCAAACTCCCACTCTTTGCAGATGATATGATACTGTATGTGGAAAACCCAAAAGACTCCACCCCAAAACTGCTAGAACTCATACAGGAATTCAGTAAAGTAGCAGGATACAAAATCAATGTGCAGAAATCAGTGGCATTCCTATACACCAACAACAAGACAGAAGAGAGAGAAATAAAGGAGTCGATCCCATTTACAATTGCACCCAAAACCATAAGATACCTAGGAATAAATTTAACCAAAGAGGCAAAGGATCTGTACTCAGAAAACTATAAAATACTCAGGAAAGAAGTTGAAGAAGACACAAAGAAATGGAAAAACGTTCCATGCTCATGGATTGGAAGAACAAACATTGTGAAGATGTCAATGC